ACTTTGCTTCCGCCGTTTTCCAATAAGTGGCTGTACCGGCTGAGGCTGCTTGAAATACATAGATGATAATGCCCTTAAAGTGAGTGTGGACAGTGCCTAACGAATTGTCATCGCCGTTTCAGTGACAGTTGTTCTTTTTTTCGTATTATTCACGCTCGAAAATGTAAGTTTATGTGCCTAATTCTCGCCATTTGCGGGAAGTTTTACTTTTCTGTTTCAATTCGAAAAAAAATGCAGTTGAAGCGCATCGAATGCTCTCAGAAACTTACGGTGATGCTGCTCTGAGTGAAAGAACGTGTCGGGAGTAGTTTCAACGTTTTAAAAATGGTGATTTCGATGTCGAAGACAAACATGGTGGTGGAGGAGAAAAAACCTTCAAAGATGAACAACTAGAAGCATTGCTTGATGAAGATTCGTGCCAAACCCAAGAACAGCTTGCCGAATCGTTGGGAGTGAATCAGCAAGCCATTTCAAAACGTCTCAAGGCCCTGGCCATGATTCAATATCAAGAGCGACATGACAAAGTCATCCTCCAACAAAGTCATCCGCCTCACGTCTCAAAAGTGGTCAAAAAGTACCTTTAAACGCTGAAATGGGAAGTCTTACCCCACCCGCCGTATTCCCCAGATGTCGCCCCTTCTGACTTCCACCTAATCCGTTCGATGGCACACGGTCTTGCAGATCAACATTTTCAATCTTTCGAAGAATTAGAAAAATGGATTGCTTCATGGATAGCGTCTAAAGAGGACTGCTTTTTTCAAGCTGGGATCCGAAAATTGCCGGAAAGATATATTGAATAATATATCTGTAAGCACTTTTTCACAATAAAGCTTTTAATTTTGGAAAAAAAAAACGGCGGAATCAAAGTTGTACACCTGATATATGCATATGTGAGTACATTTATGAGTGCATAATAATTAACATGATTATTTAAATTTAACTAAAATGACGAAAAATGTATTGCACACAAATATCAGAAATAAAAGAAATAATTATTCTTTGGTTAAAAATAGAAGCAAACCCGACTTTCTTTAAGCGCATACAAGCTTACGGAAGCTTTACATTACTGGTTTAACAGTATTATTTAAAGACAATTCTTAACGCAGACCTATAAAATTGTAAAGATAAGCTTCTTTATCCAAGTACACCAACTGATTATTAATAATTTTAGTCCCTTACATGAAATAAATTTTATGTACAGCTGATTGGGGAGAGATTATTGGGAGAGAAGTATTTTGTGCCAACCAACATAAATAGTTTTTGGACTAATTAAAAATAATTTAGAAAATTTATGTTTTTTTTTTAAAATTTCAGCGAGTAGTTGCAAATGGAACTCGTTGTTCTTATATAAATTTAATTTGTGCTATCAAATAATTATCTGGAATATTACAATATATAAACAATAATAAGGCTCGTTGGGAAGACAGCGAGTACAGGGTACGCTAATACCTCTCTCTTTCAGGAGAACGCCATAAGTCTGTTCTTCAACATTTATTTTCCACAAAATTCTGTAGGCTGTTCAATGTAAAGACATATACATACGTATATATTAGGTTTAGTAAAAAGAAATTCATTATTTCTTGCATGAAATTGAAGGCTTTAATTCTTTCTTTTGGTTTCCAGTCTTATTGAAATTGTTCCAAACGGGTTTTTTGTGCGAACTTTAGCTCTTGGGTAATCGAAACAGTGCTTACATGACGCTTGGACTGGACATTGTCCATGATTTTATCGACATTTTCGACAATTGGCCTTTAACTTCGTGGAGCACCTTCAACATCAAAATTACCGGAATGCAAAGGAAACTGTGCTTGATTGACTGTAACAGTGCCAGGACAACTTTCACAATCACATTCCAAATTACAAATGGTCAGAAAAGCTTTTTAGTACGAAATGTCATCTTTCTAATGTCATCTAGCGGAACTCGATTGGAATTATACAACGCGAAATAAAGATAAGGAACGCCATCTATTGGAAAAATACCCCCTGCGGGTTGGGGGCTCAAGAATTTACCCGCGGTAAGGCATGCCTGTCGTAAGAGGCGACTAAAATCTAATAGTTTCCGCGACAGTCGGGTCTTTATACCATTCCCCAAAAAGTATTTTGGGGAACAATTTAGCGGTTACAACAACAACAACATTGGAGAAAAAATACTTTTACTATACCTAATATATATAAATTTTTTGAAATATTATTTAAAAGACCATTTATTAATTCCTATAATCCTTCTTTGAGAATTGTTACTTTTTTTAAAATACGCAAATAAAATTTGTTTCCTTTTTGCCTTCATTCTTGGCTCGAATCTCATTGTAGACAGTTGGTTTTGTCTTATTTCATTTCTGCTAAGTAGAAACTCAACAAGTGTTAACTAACTAGTTTTTAACTAGTATGAAGCTGATGCAAAGTTGAGCAATTCACAAATGCAAGCTAGTAGTAAGCAATTAGTACCTTTCTCAGCAGGGATGCTATAAATTGAAGGATTTTCCTTTATCAATTGAAAGCGTTTTGAAAACACTTTGAATAATTCGAAAATTTCTGCACAATTTTTGGAAGAAGAAAAAAATGTTTGATTACATTAAAAATTTTATGAGAAGTTTATTTATTGGCAGTCCCATATATTTTCAAAACTTCATTGTCATGAAGTGTTGTATTAACTTTGGTTCGAAATTTGTGAGTACCAGTACCATGTCCTTCTGTTCGTCTGTCCGTCTGTTGGAGTGCAAGCTAGTCTCACAGTCGAAATCGATTAACTGATCAGACATATGACTTCGGGTCATAAATACTTCAATAGAGCATCTATAAGCACGAGACTTGGTCCTATATGAACATACAAGTATGTTCAAAATCAGCGAAATTGGATAACTGTATCATATAGTCTCCCTACAACCGAAAATCAGCGAAATCGGACTCACATATATACCACGAATAAACATCTTTTGGCGCGATATTTGGTATTTGCACACTGACTTTCTTGTCTTTCTTGGTTTATGTTGGTTTTGTAGCTAATTCGCATTTTACAAGAGTTTTGGTCATACGAACTTTTCGGGAAGGTGTTTGTCGCGTGAAAAAAATAAGTGTAGGAGGGGTAGCTGATAAGTTCGCGACCTAAGGTAGTTAGAGATGACACATCATCTCGTTACTGATAATACCAACTGCGGGCCTAATTCTTAATATAAATAATACACTTTTTTATTACGTTCATTATTCAGTAACGAAGAAACAGGCAAAAACATTGTGTTAACCGAAACTGGAAATTCTCGCAATTTGAAGTTCCGCGCTGTGATTACATTCCTTGTAAAGCAGAGTGTACACCGAAAGAAATTGCGAAAAATATGCCATCGGTTCTTCAGGATTCTGTCCTTCATATATGACGGTAAAAAAATGGGCTCCGCTGTTTAAACAAGGAAGAGAGGCCTCTTAGCGCGCCCAGTGAAGCTCGTAACCGCAGAAAACCTTCACAAAGTCTAAAACTAGTACTGCCTGATCGAAGAATGAAATTGTGGCAGATAGCCGAAGGATTACAGATTAGCACAGAACGAGCTGGAGGGATTTTGCATGAAAATTTGAATATGAAAAAAATGAGAGCGCGTTGGGTACCGCTAAAGCTCACGCCGATTGATAATTATCGACGATTGGAGGGTTGTAAGGATTTTTTGTGGTTGTGCCAAGATGATTTGTAGGAAATTTGCAACGAAATTGTAACAGTTGATGAAACTTGGATTCATCAGTATGAACCCGAGTCCAACAGGAGTCGTTGCAGGCGTTTATGGCTACCACTTTCTGGGATAGCGAGGGAATGTCATTAATTGATAACTTTGCCAAAGGGAACAATTATACTCGTACAATCAACGGCCAGTACGTCAGGCGCGTGAGACAGTAGTTCAGACGACAGTAAGTTGAAAGCGGCAGCAGAAAGCCAATTTAAAAAGAAATCTAAAGAATATTTTTTCAGTGGCATAAAAGCATTGTATTCACGATGTGAAAAGTTAGCCGTCATTCGTATATACGCTTTTTGTTTTTTTTGTTTATTTTTTATTTGTTATTACATACAAAAATTAACATATTTTTGCACGTGTTAGCTTCAATTGTGTAATTATCAATTAACAACAAGAGTTTGCTTTTATCGAATATTTTTTTCCGTTTAAATATGTATATCTGTATGTCTCTATGCATGTAAAAATAAATTAATAAATCAAATTTTAATACATTTTTTTTGTAAATCAAATTCACAAAAACATTATTTCGTGTTTAATACATACAAACATATACATACATATATATACTTTACATATATATTCTAGATTTGCGCTTGCTTGGACACATGCGCCATACTCGCACAACAAGCGCGTGTGTGTGTGTGTGTGTGAATGTGTTTGTATATTTGTAAATTTAACTAGAAATTATTATTGTTGGTGGTGTAATTACAATTATGGTTCACTAAACTTTCTCACAACAATGAAACAACAGCAAAAAATTGTCTCAGTTGTGATATACGAATACCTTATCCACAGGTAGGCCCTTGAAATACAACAACAAGTTAATATATATATATATATTTTTTTTTTCTAATTTTTGGCGCGCAATTATTTTTAAGCTCTATCAAGCGTAACAACAACGACAATACGCTGATTCACTGATCAACAACAACAAACAACCGAAAAAATGAATCTACTACAAACTGGATTGCGAATTTCTAACAATAAATGTTAAGTAAAAAAAAAAAACAACAACAATATTTCAGTAACTCATTAGCATTTCGAAATTGGTGTTCGCAATCGCATTTTAATGGGCAGCGAATTTGCATAAAACTTTTAGTTAAATTTATTAATTTATTTCTTTTCTATTTAATAATTAATTCATTTTTAATTTTTTTATTATTTTTCATTTAATTATATGAAATATTAAATATTTATTTTCTTTTTAAATATTTTATGCAAAATTTTTTAATTTATTTCATATTAATTTCTTTTTAATTTCACATTTCTTGTTCACAAAACACACACCTTGAAACGTAATTCACCCAGCGGCGGCAATGCATAAGGCACGCCCATATAGCCGCGTATATGTCGTCCTTTGTGTGAGGTCAAATGGCGGCCCACAAGGATTCCGCCATGTGGCAGTTGTAGTTTTAACGCGTTCGATGTGCGCGCCGTGACCGCATCGAAATGCTGACAAAGCGTGAGCAAGAAAATCGTGACCGTAAATAATAAGGTGACGGCTGCCAGATAACGTTTACTGTTAGGCCGTCGTGATTGAAGCTGTAGCCCGGCCGGCGGCATCGCAAGCTCATTAGCCAGACGACGATCGGTTTTGTTTAACATTTCTGCGCGCACTAAGGCGATCAAGACGATTGCCGTTGTTTTTAAGCATTTCTTAAGTTTGGCTAAAGAAAAACCAATACAAAAACAATCAAAATGCGATATTTAAAACGTCTGTTTGTATGTGTGATAACTGAGATTTGCGTGAGGTGACCAGATTACAGAATTTATGATGCAATTTGAAGGTTTTACATTTTTCTAAAAGGGTTTCGGCCCTGACAAGGGCAGTCAATTTCGGCGAGTCTCATCCGGATATGAAATATAAAAATATTAAACTTTTCAGTAAAGTCTGTAAGCAGAGATGGCTTAAAACTCATTCCATTTGTAGCAAAAAAAACGTTCGATGTGTTATAATGGCTTTCGTTAAATTTTCTTTATAAATTTTTTCTTCTTCTCCACAGATTTTATTTTCGTCGACCAATGAACATTTTCGTAAGGCTCCCTGAGATTAGGTTTCCTCTAATTTTATTTATGCAAATTAGGTGTTTTTATCTAAACCGATAATGAAAATAAATAAATAAATAGTAAATAAAGTTTTGAATTAAAAACCGGCTTCCGAGATCAGCATCAGGTTCCCTCGGAGGAGAGTTATGCATTGAAAAGTCTTTATCTCGCAAAATCCACTCATAAAACTCTCAATTAAAGAGGGTGGCTTTAAAGGGAGAGTTGGTCTTTTGGGCAGCTGTTACTGGATTTGCACCAAATTTGGTTTACCTTTACATAACGAACAGACTTGCTACTGAGCAACGTTCGCAAAGCGTGAAAATTTATTAAAAATTAACGGTTCGACACATTGTGAGCAGAGTCGGTAATTCGAGCAACCATGGATCGTTGCGTGACATGCAATACCGTGCGATTTAACTCCGCTGGACTAGCAGATAAGTCCGAGACGATTAACTCTTGCCTTCGAACTCCAAATATAGCCTGGACCAAGAAGAGCGACCAGTAGTCTTTTCAGATACAAAAAGGGTAGATTTGGAGGACACTAATGGGTATTCCTATCTCTTTGAAGATCTCTAACAAGTCGTATAGATGTCATTACCCTTAAAACATCTATATCTGCGAAGAAGATTGGATTTTACAGCAGAATAAAGTACCAATCTCATTCCCAGTTTTATGAAGTCCTGGATTGAGAGTCGAAAAACGAGTCATACTCGTCCGATCTTAATATTATATCCTCCCTGCTCGTAGTTCACTAAATGACATCAAAACATTATAGGACTCTGCGGAGGTATTTCTCATAAGCATTTCCATCTTTTTGACGTCCAAAAGAATATACAATTATGGATCACAGAAATATCTAACAAAGGAGAGGCTGAACAAATGATTGGATTTTATGGAGAACTTATTTCTTTCCATGACCATCCCCGCGTCATTCACAGCTGAGTCGCGACCACATTTAAGAATACTTTTTCCATAATTTTGGATATTAATTTGTCCGCAATTCAAACTCTCTCCATAGCAGACATATATATATAATTGGCGCTTTGTAACCGCTGAAGCGATTTTAGGCCGAGCTTCTCTTCCAATTTGTAGATTCGCGTCTACATGTCAGAAATACACTCGGAGGGGTTGACATTCCCTGCCGAGGGGCAATCGCAATTAGAAAATTTGGCTTAATTTTTTATTTAAATTAATTTTCCATAACTTTTGGATGTTGGTCGCACGGGGATTTGAACCCGAGCCTTCCGAATGGCAGTACGCAGCAGATGAGCAGAGAAATTTGTAGAAAAAAATTACCAGTTTTCATTCTTATTAAGTACTTATAAATAAAATCAAAAATTCTGCTTAGAGAGAAACATTTTTGAATCAAAATTTTACCGTTTAAATTTTATCTGGTCACTCTAAGAATTTGCGTGAAAATCAAATTAGTTTCCATTGCATACGCGTTAATCAAGTGCATGAAAATATTGTCGAGTATTTGTATATTGCGAATATATGTACATATGTATGTACATATATATACATACATTTTGAACTGCAGAGTGTTGCCAGCTAAAAGTTTGGCAAAAATTTCTTTTAACTTTTGCAATATTGCAATGCGAATGCTGATTATTCTATGGAAGTTTTGAAAACCCTTCATGGAAATACGTTCTGGGTTAACTTGATTGGGTTCACAGTCAAGTATTTGGTAATCATTTTTCAGATCGAACATAAATAAAATACTTCACTACAGGGAACACTTGGAACACGTTTAGCCCGGCAAATAGTAATTGTTACAACAAATATACGATGTTCGGTGACAATCGGGTTCCTGAGTAAAAATAATTTCCTCTAAAGGTTAACGCGATATGTTTGTGTGTTAAATTGTGAAAAAAAAGTCAAAAAATATTTTCAATTGTTAAAGAGTGAAATGAAATTACGATAACCGAGTGGAATTATAGCCCAGTGGTTATGTTTTCCACCACTGCTTACTTTTTATGGCTATTTAAGTGGCTTAGAAAAATACTACGAAAGGTAAGAATCTTCTGGCAACACGGTATCTTAAGCATTAGTGAAGGCATGTTGAGTGATAGAAGGACGGAGAGGGATCGAGAGAGCGGGGCTATTGATCTATGATAAGAAATGCTCTGATTGTTAGTTACAAATTGAAAGATAAAAAATATGTTTTGACATTTTTACAAATCTTTTTATAAATCGATTTCTCTTTATTTAAATATTGGCTTTTTCTGTTTACTATAATTTAGCAATATTGCGTAAATAAAGAGTAACTTCCTTTTGCAAAATTAATGTAAAATTGGAATCGATTTGGATGTGTTGCTTTCATTGATCGGATAGGACGATGAGCTAAAAAATACCTAATAATCACTAAAAATCACAAAAAACTCTAAAAAAAACTTTACATTGAAATATATGAGAACAAAAAGGTCTAGTAAAAAGTAATCCATTACTTAGGCATTAAATTGTAGGCTTCAATTGCCGCAGTTGGAATTATCCGCTTTACGCACCGTTTCACTCAATAACTTTATGCCCTTTTTTGGGTAAAGTCTATATGCCTCTCTCAGAGAAATTTTCGCCATCATTCGACAAACGACTATCCAGATTTCTCTTGAGTCTAATTCTTCACCAGCCAAATAATTCGTCTTGACAAGAACGGATAGTAAGCACATGGTACGAAGTTGGGACTATCCCAGCATAAGAAGAGTCCTCGCACGACACTAACCACCTCTTCACATGCCCCCTTAATCCGACTCTTCTAACCCCACTCTCCGTCTGGTCCGATCCCGTCGAAACAGCACGTTTACTGGACCTCCCGTTAGATAACCTCGCTGACTGAGATTAATTTTAAACCTATCTCTAAGCGGGATTAACGTAGCCGCTACTACAACAATAACCAATCTAAGCAACCAAGCTCTCGGAATTTCTCGCGAGTCACTTCTCTTCCTGTTGGCTATAGCTGGGCGGTTTTGGGTGATTGCTGCGGTTTCATACGGTCTAAATGCTCACAGTATTAAATTCCGAATTAAGAATTTCGACTAAGATAAGTAGCTTATAGTAGATGTGTTCTTGCCAATCCCGCCAAACAACCAATAAAACCATGAGCTGAGTTGAATTGATGCGGTTGCCAGAGGCTGTAGCCTTCACCTACTCTTATGATCGAACCAATTCGTGTGCCTTATAAAGGCAACAAGATTTCCAATATTCGCTGAGGCCAACAAAACCTTACTGCCCGTAAATCCTGGTTTGGAGATCGTTTGTGCCGGCTAACTGTCCTTCGACCACGACCGTTTTCGCTTGACGTTGCTGTAAGAAGTAACTAGGAAGATGTATCGTTATGAGACTACTACATTTCGGCCCAGATTCCCACCCGAGGGACAACCGCAATTAAAAAAATAATTTTTGGCAGTAGGTCGAACCACGACTCGAGCTCTGGCCTTTCGTATCGCATATCACATAAATACTTATGTGAGTCTAAAATATCATGTTCATGAGGGGTATAAGGATATCGGAGAGCAGCGTCTCTTTGCCGTTTTTTCATCTCCCAAATTTAAACTTATGTCCCTTTCTCATGTCATGATTATGCGGTTTGCTTTCAATTACGTTCAGCTTCCTTCTTTGATTAGCATTTCGCCGTTAGTTAAATTTTGGCTTCCTCAAAAGTAAGAAGATGAAAAAATAAATCAAGCTAGACTGGAGTTTGACAAATACGAATGAATTCATAAAAGACAAGTAGGCAAGGACAAGTGGAGTAGGGAAATGTTTGTGAAAACTTTCAAGTTGTTTGCGCAGGTAAGAGCAGTCAAGAAAAGAAAAATAAAAAAATGTGAAAGAACAGCTGAGGACGTCTACAGAAATACTGGTTTAATATTCATTTACTTAAACTCAGTTTAAACTTCCAATATTCGTAATTTGAAAAGTCCAGATATGATAGGATGTGCTCAGATAAAACAGGAACGGCAATATAATTATATCAGGTAGGATTTGTTAAGGTCGATATGAGGTTATATAGTCTATGAAATTCATGAGATAATTGCTTAATTAAGGCTTGAAAACGGCTTAGCCTTGGCCAGCTTCTGCTTCCAATTTTGGTGCCTGCCTCCGAACGATTGATAAATTTTTACGACCACCAATCATTTTTCGTGCATTCCATCATCCGAAATTATAAACACTCTTTGGCGAGAAGCGACGCCAGGAGTCGTACCTATGGTATTCCGACCCGTAAGCGGATAAGGATATACCAATAAAAAATCTAAGGCTGTGCAGGTGCGACTTATCTCTATAAAGATACACATCACATATTGGAAACACGTCAGCGTTAACGAAACTAACCGAAATGGTCTGATAGCGAGTGATGACAAGGTGAGGAGATATTCCGTTATTGAACAAACCACCCTCATTTCTGTACTCACAAGTGACTCTCAGACCTTTCTTGACGTAGATAAATCAACTTTTACACCAACTCTCTGAGTAAACAATTGAAAAGTAAAGTACTCTCTCCACAAACAAAAATCAAGCTCAACAGGAGGATAACCACTCCTGATCTGTAATATTGTGTAGAAGCGTACATTGGAT